CAGTCACTTCTTCTATGGCAGTTGTTATTGCTGACTTTTTTCATTTCAGAGGCTGCCTTTGCTGACTTTTCATCCCTGCTGACTTCCGCCATTGCTGACTTTTATCCCAGAGGCTGCCATGTGGGATTGTTCCCTCTTCTGGTCTGGACTCCCTCTTCCTATTATGTTGGGCCTGTGAGGCCCAACTCAGCTTTGTTTGTTCTGATGGGCCTTGGGCTGGATGTGTCAATTTTTGGCCCAAACACAAAGAACACAAAAACCTTGTGCACACAACAAAAGCAAGGCAAAACCAAACCCTAAAAATAGGATAAGGCAAGAGCAAAGGCAAGAGCAAATGCAAAGGCAAGGCAAGGTAAGGCAAAGACAAGGCAAGGCAAGGCAAGGTAAGGCAAGGCAAGGCAAAGCAAAGCAAGGCAAAGCAAGGCAAATAAAGGCAAAGCAATGCAAAGTAAGGTAAAAACAAAGACAAATAAAAGCAAAGTAAGGCAAGGCAAAGAAAGGCAAGGCAAATGAAGGCAAAGCAAAGGTAAAGGGTACAAACAAAGCAACAACAACGACAGTGACCACATCAACGGAAAGCGAAGCAAGAAAAGGCAACATCAACGATGGCAACAACGGCCAAGGCAATGACAACAACAGCCTAAGTGAAGGAGAATTCCTCCATATCTACTATACCTAATTCACGCAAACACAACTTCTCTTCATTCCCTCTCCCCCTTTAAGTGAAAGGGTCGTCGTAGTCAAGAAATATGCAATATCTTCATGGGAAAGATAAACAGATCATTTTCACTCCCTCTCCCCCCCCCTTGAAGAGAAAGGGAAGAGAACACTTAAATTGCAAGGAGAACCCAAGAATAGGTCACAAGAAAACCAAGACTCTGATGCCATGTCAAACAAAGTAGGGTAAATATTCAGTTATCTCAGATATGTATTCTTCTCTAATATGGAGGTATTTATAAGGAATACAATCCTAAATAAAATAGGAAATAAACTAAATTATAATAGAAAATAAATCTCAATTATAATAAGACTAGATAAATAGGTAAGTAACCAAAATCCTAACATAATGAGGAATTAAAATCCTAACAATCTCGCCAACAAAAAAAGACATCAAAACTCTGCAAACTCAAAGAAGAACTGTACCCATAGCTTCAAGATGACATGGTTATGCTCCCACAGCTTCAAAATAAAATACTTTTTTTTTCTTGTCAAAATCTCTACAACCATTAAGCTAAATATGAAATGCGAACCCATCATCAATGACCCATATGAAAAGAGCAACTGACCATTTGTTTTCAAGAATGAAAGAAATTTGAAATAACTTCCATTATGTTGGAAAAAAAAAAAAAAAAAAAAACTTCCATTACGTTTGGAGATGTTTATTCAAAAAGTCCTCTAGGATTTTAAGATATTTTATATTTTAATTTATTTTGTCTCTCTCGCTAATAAAACAATTAAATGAAATTAGAATAAAAATTGGATAAACCGAGAAATACTGATGCGACATTTCGGATTAAAGCATAAACTGGACAAAATAGCCATTTCCTGCTTCCTGAGGCCGGCCATCCCCTTCGTCTGTTAGCGATCAAATCGCGCCATTACTAACGACGACACAAAAGCTACGAAACGGCACGAAGCCACTCGGCATTGGCTTATTACACTCGCCCTTGTGCGTATCTCTCTCCGCCTTGAACTGTTGTCAACCACCGCGAAGATCATCACCACCTTCAAATTCAACGGTCAATTTCCACAGAAATGGAACTAAAACCAGGCCTTTCAGCTCTCGTTACTGGTGGAGCTTCTGGAATTGGTAAACCATCGTCCACTGCTCTGTTAATCTTCCTCTATCAATTTTTTCATCAAACTTGAACAACAAGAACACTGGTTCTGC